GGGGGGGGGGGGGGGGGGGGGGGGGGGGGGCGGGGCAGGCTCCCCACCAAGCAGAGAACCTGATGCCTTGATCATGACCTGAGCCGAAGGCAGAGGCTTTAACCCACTGAGCCACCCAGACACCCTTGCAGGTGATTTTCCTAAAAACCCTTTCAGTTGGTACAAAACAATTAGTTAGAGCTAGTAAGTGTGCAATAACTATATAGGTATGCCAAAATAAATAGGTATCTTCTCCAGGAGTCAAAAGCTGCCATGATGTAAGCTCATTTCCACTCTCACTTTTCCAGGCTTCCAAGAGCTATCTTAGCAGTAAGTCTGCCCCATCCCCTTGGGTTAAATCTTTTGTTCCAAAGGTATCCCAGATCAATGAAATCTTGAGTATGTAAGGCCTTGCTCAAGGACCCTCAAAGTCCAATCCCAAGTGTACTTCTCTGGCTCCTTAGTAATACAATGCCAGATTATTTTTTCAATTCCTTCAGTGTGTAATCTCTTTCCTCCCTAGGCCCAGCAGTCCCTAGGCAGATTATGCTGAGATTTAACCCAGCTACCACAACCTCTCAGCTAGGATAAGAAATGAGAGCAACTACAGAAGAGGTCTTTTTGCAAGGGGAGGGAATTGTTACCTCTTATAGGAAGCCACTTCTGCAATCCCTGAGGGTTTAGGGGTATCTGCACAACCAACATCTTCACAGGTACCCCCATACCATATTTCAAGCTTTAGGATTACCCAACCAGGACCCTAACTGCATAGCTGAACATTCAGATATCTTTAGAGCTCTGTAACTCTGTCAAATCCTATGTCTGTTCTTTCATTGCAGGAAATAAAGGCCTTTTTTTTTTTGAAGCCCACTATCCCTCTGCAAGGCAGTAGTACAACTTAATTGGCCAGTTCTTAGGCCCAGGGAGTCCAAAACAATCCCCGCTGGCCACCAGCACTGGCCAGTTCTGCTATCCTTGTAGGCATTGTTTTCCCCGTATTTTTTAAATGCTTGAATCATTGTATAGACAACAACATTCCCCTCTTATGGGATGTTTTCCTAGGTCACTATTGGTCAAATCAGTAGTCAAGTGATCAACTCATGCCAAGGACTGAGTACACCATTCCACAAACCCCATCTTACTGCCTGATTTCTTACACTACTCCCTGTACCACCTATGTCAGTTCTGGCTCTTAAAATACAGATGCTAAGAAGGGATTACACATGTAAGATGCTGACTAGAGAAAATGTCTGTGAATGATAAAATAGGCTAAGGAATTCAAAGGGACAGCCTGTAGACTATAGTACAAGTTTGAACTCTGTAAAAGAGGGAAGGTAAGGAAATACTGGGTGGAAAGAGCTTCTGACTACAGTGTATTTCCAAGAAAGTCTCATCCAAACTGCTAAGGAGTTCCCCAAGGCAAAGTTGCCCATTGAAGGAGTTCTGCACTAGATAGTAAAAAAGACAAGTATAGTACCTGTGCTA